TTAAAGTATAAAGTAGATACATAATTTATTAAAAAAAGAAATAAAAAGCTATCTGCTATTCGTGTCAAGTTACAAGCGATAACTTAAACTTTAATTAAATATTGTATTATTTATTTTATTTTCAAAGTACGTTTTTCAAACTTTTAAATGTTTTAACATTTACGATGTATTATTTAAATCAAAAAAACGGGTTTAGTCATATAATTACGGAAATGACGCAAAAAATACATAAACATTAAATTATTTTCATTTTTATAGATTAGTAATCTTTATTAGCTGGACTATAACATATTTCCACAAATTTGGTAGGTTTTAGTAAATTTTAGTATTAAAAAAGTGATCTAACGAGTTTCAAGTTTAGTTTTAAATTTACATACACGTGCATAGACATTAATTTTCTGTTAGTACCAGTATTTAAAAATTTATACCACCTTGATGATATGTTGTACATTTTTAAATTCCTAACATCGATGAGTTTATAATTTATTACAATAGTAACCTTATTCAATATATTGATTAACTATGGATGCTTTATTGAATACAGTCGTAAATCGTGCGATATGGCTTTGATTGTAGGATCGAATCTTAAAATATTCAAATAAAAAGTGTGTGTATCATTGTAAAAATTTTATAATGCATGTTTAAGATGAGCAGCCTAAAACATACGTAATTGTATAGGAAACTATGAATTATTTATTATTACTATATTTTTTAAACGGGTTTCGTCCGATCCTTATATTTAATTTATCTTTTCCTAGTTGAATTGACTAGACTATTAGTTAAATTAACAAGAGGTTGACCTTTAGGTATCAAAAAACAAGCTTCTGGAAATTATTTTTGTTAAACATAAAAATTTAACTAAAAATCAATGTTACTACTATTATATAGGCAAATGTTTGGATGCGTGTTTACTCCACAAATACGTCAGAACGACTAAAACAGTAAGAGTTTATTGTAATTTGTAATATATATATATATATATATGTATTTGTGAATATGCCGTTTGCAAAAGAATTTTTTTCTTTAGTTTTAGTTTTACAGTTTTAGTTTTCCGAAAAATTTATTGACAAAATTGTCATTAATTCGAAGAGAGTCACAGTACGAGCCGGTTTGTAGAGTGGTTCGTAAGCAAATTGTTACTAACATAATACGGAATTTTCCGAAATAAATAATCATTATTATAGTCTTTATTTTGTCTTCATAATAACAATATTATTATGAAGACAACATAAAGACTATTAAAAATATCATGCAATAGCCTTATTGCAAGCATTAATAATTTCTATAAAGTAGCGCATTTAAAAAAAATCTTTTAAACGCGAGAATAAACAAGTTAATAAAACAATTTTTTATCGATAACATTGTTTTTTTAATAGAACGACACTCTCGTGCCGGCGACAGGTGCAATAGAGCACGGTGGAAGCGACACAGTATCGATATACCGATAAATTGTATTTTGATAGCGCACAACCCTATGAAGAATAGACGCGGCAATTCATTTTATTATTGCACTGAGCGTGTGAGTACTAGTGATAAAACGTAACGAGATACATATAATAAAGTACAGATTTTTTGCTTCATAACATATATTGCATAGTATATTTTACAAAAATCGATTTCTTATTATGTAATTTGACGGAATGTTGATTTCAAATAATAATAATTATTTTAAGTACAACTTTTGATTAAAGACTTTGTCGCATTGATATAATACTTACATAGATGAGTAATTACCGCCTAAAATCGTTGCTACTGCACATCTGTCCACAGGCATATGCGTAGCAAACGTCAATTCAGTGTTCAATGTGGCGTCAACCGAGTTGAACATAGCGACACATGACAGTAACAATCGCCAAAATGGGTAAATGCGTAGTGAAAGAATGCGATTCAAGGTCACAAAACCATAATAAATCATGCGGAATTACTTATCACGTGTAAGTTTATGGTTTTTGTATTGATAATATCGTAAATAAGGCTATAATTGAAATAAAACATTGATAATTGTAATTTAGAATCAGTGTTACCATTAAAAAATCATTTTTGTTTTCCCACATTAGTGGGAGAATTTATAATTTATGAAATAATATGTTTTTTACTGTTTTTAAACATTTTGTCAATAATAATAAAATATACTAAGAACGGTAGTTGTTAGGGCTGAATTGATCACTTTTTTAGAGACCCGTTGAACGTTCACCTTCTGCCAAGCTCGCAGTGCTGGAGACTTGTGTATAAAGGAATTAATTCATTCATTCATTCATTTTTCTTAATTAATTATCAAATATAAATAACAATTGTACAAAAAAATATATATATTTAAAATAAAAAGTAAATAAATATAAATAAAAAAATATAAAAAGCAAAAAAAAAAAAAAATTATTATATTTTTTTTTATTTGTATTTTAAAATATTAAAAGAATTTGCAATACACCCTGGGGATTATTTATTATCAGTACAAGTTGATCATTCACTTTTACTATTAAATGCCATTATTTATACATAGGTAAAAATAAGATTGTATCATGAAAGTAAAATATTCACACAAACTTATAAAAAAGAGTCTAAAAGACAATTGTATACAAAACTGATGCTTCATAGCGGAGTTTGATTTTACACTGAATATAAACCCTTTTAACCAAATATTTCTAGTTATTTTATTATTTATACCTATTCCATTCAATTCGAAATATATTATTTAAAATATTTAAATTAATTTATTTTATTACAAAATTGTTTTAAAAAAAAAATTGTTTCTTGGTTGTTATGGGTAAAATTTCATACGGTAGTCAACACTGGCCCACCATCGTAAAGTTATGTCTTTGTCTTTGTCTAATCCGAGCGATGGTATTGTTCTTTTTTCGCGTGTAAATGAGACATAAATATGTTTACTGTCAAATGTTTAGTGGTATCAAAGCTACGTCGTCAAAGTTCAAAAGTGGTTACACTTTTTTCGACGTGTGATAATGAGGTTTGCTTCTCTAGTGTTGTTTTAACTCAATGCTTTGTCGTATTTATAATTATAATTGTTAAACACCCTCTTTATAAATTTTGGTCTCTTTAAGTATATATAAATACGTGTAAAACCACTATTGAAGGTTGTTTAACATAAAAAGATATTTTTTTATCTACTTCAATTTGAAATAAATTCTCTGAATTCTGACGTAATTCTAGGTTTAATATTTTTTTGTTTTTCTTAGTATAGTTTTCTTAGTATATATATAAATATTCTTATTTGTCTTTCTTAGTATATATATATATATATTTATATATTTCTTTAAAAAGAAAGTGGGTTTATAATTTTGAAATACCAATAAGAATGTGGATATAGTGCATATGGTAACAAAAATATATAAAAGTTTAAGCGGTCGCCCCACCGCTCACTACTATGCTGAGTGTTGTGGGTCCGATCCCCACATAGGACGACACTTTGTGTGATCCACAAATTGTGGTTCTGAGTCTGGGTGTTCTTTGTGTCCGTTTCATGTATGTTTGTAAAGTCCCCCGCGACACAGGATTTAATCCTAATGCGGGAGTTGTCTTTTTTAAACAAAAACATTTGCCTTAAAATAGTCAACATCAAGTCTTTTTAAACTTCATTTTGCTGCGTGATCACTATTTACTTCTAATATTTCTTAAATCATAATTTCAGTTTCGTTTTGTGTATTGTTTAACCCTTTTTTTTAATATTAACTATGTTCTTATCTACAGTTTGATAGTGCTACAAAACAACAGCACCTGAGTGCGGTCGCCACAGTCCGATATTTGCCAATATTTAGAAGATCAACCCGGACACAGATATTGGCATCCGCCAATAGATTACATTTAAAATGAATCTCGCAGCAAAATATTGAAATGGAAAACTACGAGATCCTAATAAAAGTTGTTGACATTTTGTTATCTAGAAATACGATTTTGAACCTTATGGTAGACTGATTATTTAGTTCGCCGGAGCAAGTGACTGTCTAAAACTGTATAAACGTGTATCACGGACAGTTTAAGTTTCAAATCCGTCAAATCCGGACCTGTACTTGCGAGATATGGGTAATGTTTCCATCCATATCTTGTCAGATACAATTTGGGCCCGGAATTGACGTCTGGGACTTGTTCTTAGTTTAAATTATTTAAGGACACGGCAGTTGTAATAAGTAAGATGTCAAACTTGTGTGAGTTGTTTGTTTGCGTCATAAGATATTGATAGATATATCGCGTCTTAGATAACAGTTTTGATATTTTAGCTTTCTCGTGGGTGTTAAATGTGTTTCTTAGACTGGCAGGCTTAGCTTGACTGCACGGATGGCGCAGTGGTTTAAGCGGTCGCCACGCCGCTTACTACTGCACCGAGTGTCGTGGGTTCAAACCCCACATGGGACGACACTTTGTGTGATCCACAAATTGTTGTTCTAAGTCTGGGTGTTCTTTGTGTCCGTTTCATGTATGTTTGTAAAGTCCCCCGCGACACATGAAATATTCCTAGTGCGGGAGTTGTCTTTTTAAAAAAAAGAAAAGACTTAGCTTCATCTTGTTTCTGTTTTTTTTTTATTAAGTAAGAAATGAGTTTGTCCTTGCCACCATTCCATACACACAAAGTTTATTGCTCGAGGATAACAAAAGTATTAAAATGTGCTATTTACTACTGATATCTATATTTTATTTAAAATTCATGTAGGTATATAAAGCTAATTGAACGACAAATATGTATTTGTTTTACAACTTTAAAACCGTCTGACCAGCGTGGTATAGTAAGCCGAAACCTCCTTTCTAAGGAGAGGCCTATGTCCACCACCACTGTTGATGATGATCATAACTTTATGCATTTATGTACATCGGTGGACTGTCTCTACCAGCCAACCCTTGGGTAGTGTAGAAATCTTATTAATAGGAATAAATGTCAATTATTGGTATTTGTATAAAAGTATCATCAGTCTTCAACTGAAGACGCACCTATATGATGTTCATGTTGGTGAAGAGCAGACGGAATTTCAAATTAAACTTAAATTTCTTACCTTTAAGTAGCAACACGAAGTTCTTCTTATCATCTCCACCTTTAGGGTATTCCCAATCCATGTCCAGACCGTCAAAGTTCCTGTCACGGAGATACGGGATCGCGGAGTAGATGAAAGTCTGACGGGCGTACCGGCTTGCTGATAGCTCCTTGAACTTTTGGGTTCCAAACGACCAGCCACCTGAAGAAAGAAAAATAATTTAGTTAGTGTTAATTTTTTTTAACTAAAAGTACTACGGTAATACGATTTAAAAGAAAAAGATTATTAGAACATCACACTCGGCTGTTTGATCCTAGGCAAGGTAACCTATGGTAACCTGACCGCAGATAAACATTCTTATTTAATTCTTAAAACACACATAATTATTCTACATAAAATAACACCCAGATACAGAACAAATGATCGTTCTCATCACACAATTATATTGTCTTGGGTGGAAATCAAACCCACAATCTCTAGATTAGCAGTCTGGGTCATCAACCACTAGACCCGCAGGCACAATAGTAAACTATAAAATCTTTTAGAATCATGCAGAATGCGGGTAGTTAAAAATAAATAAGTCCTAAAGTTACGAGTTAACTTTTTCATACCCGAAGGCAATCGGGGTTTAGCCTTGTTTAATATAACTCCGCTATGTGACCCGTGAGAAGCCTTGGCCATGAATAACTTAAGGCGCCATCAATTGGCTGTCGTAAAAACACTAATAAAGGTTTTATTTAACTAGCTTTATGACGGTAGGGTCAGTGGACACATTACTTTACTTCACACGAAATTGATTTTCTTTGTAAGTTTTACGAGGACGGTTTCCTGAAAATGGCTTTAAGTCTAATAAGTCTTTAGTATGAAGTGAATGAAATTACTGTTTTTTTTTTGTATAAGTTATGTTCAACTAAGTTAGCCCTCAGCTTAGTTCTATTAAAGATGTACATATATTTAAAATTAAAGATGTATATTTAATACATCTTTAATTTTAAATATATGTACATCTTTAATCTAACAGTAATTTCATTCACTTCACACTAAAGATACATGTGATTGAAGATGTATATATAAGATTAAAGAAGTTAAATTAAGGATGTATATATATTAAAGATGTGTACATTTTATACTACATATGTAGTAAAAAGTATTCGTTCCAGTTGATAGTACTCATATATAATAATAATAACAGTATTAATTCCGAGGGACTTACTAGACTATGTGAGTGGCCTCTCACGGGATACCAACCAATATCAGCTTTTTATGGTATAGGGTAAAAATGAGCAAACGAATCACTTGATGATAGCGGCCACCGCTGCTCATAAACAATTACAACTCAAGAAACTCAATCAGGCACAAAGGGCTCAGACATTAACTGAGCCTAAACCCCGTCTCCTTCCCCTGATTCTATTGCCTCTCCACCAACAGAATCAGGCACACAAAGGGCTGTGACATTACCTGGGCCTAAACCCCACCTCATTTCCCTTATTCTGTTGCTTCTCCAATAGAATCAGGCACAAAGGTCTGTGATATTACCGGAGCCTAAGCAATCACCACATTCCACTGATTCTGTTGCCCCTCGAACAGAATCAGGCATAAAAAGCTGTGGCATTACCGGAACCTACACCCCACCTCATTTCTCTGATTCTATTTCCCCCCTAACAGAATCAGGCACAAAGGGCTGTGACATTACCGGAGCCAAAGTCCTACCTCGTCCTCTGTTGTTTACACGAAGGGTATCAATGTACTTGTGACTGTTGAGTTCCAGGGATCTAAAGAAGGCGGTAATCACTTCCATCAGGTCGTTAGACCCCTATACCATATCAATAATTTATTATAATACTATAATTACATATTTCTACGTGAGCAATTATCCTCTATTCGGTTAGATTGATTCAATGTTTGAATAATACATATTATTATATTACGCAAAAATTAGTCAACCTATAAAATATTTTTCCGCTTTGAACAATAATTTGCATTGTTGATTTTGCCTAACAAATACGCAATATTTACATAGATAAAATGTTTTAATTCTTTAGCCAGGCTCGTATGTATGCTTATTAATAATATAATATAATAATATATTATATATCTCACACATCTCACACACGGCCGTCTGATCCCAAACTAGGCAGAGCCTGTACTATGGTAACCAGACCGCTGATAAACATACTTATATATTTTTAAATACATACATATTATAGATAATTTACACCAGACACAGAACAAATGACCGTGCTCATCACACAGTATTTGTCCTGGGTGGGAATCGAACCCACGACCTCCGGCTTAGCAGTCAGGGTCACTAACCACTAGACCAACAGGCCGCCAATCTTAATCTAAATGTGTTATATAAATATACAGTTGATATTTTTTCTATCATATTATTATACCAGTATTAATAAAATTTTGCTTATATATTCACTTATTGATTAAGTATATAAACAAATATAAACCTTGAATGAATATTCTTTAGCAAAACACTGGACTTAATATCTCTATATGAAAGAAATTATAAAATATCAAAAATAGTTTTTTTTTTGCCTGCGGTTCACTTTCGCAAGCTATTATGTGTCTTATTTTCAGAATTTAGAGTTCCTTCTCGTTTGAATTATATTTTTCAAAGCACATCACATCACACACATCAATAGCCTTTAATAAACCTCTGCTGGACATAGTCCTCTCCTTAAAAAAGAAGGTTCTGGCCTACTATATATATTTCTATAGGATTGTATAGGATTTGTGTCAAGTTTGCCTTCTCTCTGCATTGCTGTCGTTCTGCTTAGTTTGCTCCCTTAGTCGGCTCTTACGACACGAGATGAACAAGGGTTGTGACACTTCGTATTCCTTATCCGTCACCACACAGGTAGTAACACACACACACCTTTACATGTAAGGTTGTGATATGACAATTGCTATTGATGGTCTACGTGACTCCAACACATCCATGCTGCCTCTATTTTTTCATTGGTATTCTTCCAAATGGAAATGCAGCAAATTAGCTCTCCATGTGAATTTCCTTCCTTTTAACCCTAACGAAATAGGTTTCTGCTTCAAAACATTTTAAAAACAAACGTGTAAATAAAATATTATAAAAATCAATTAAGTATACTGTTGATAAAATTCTGTTGCAAAAATTGACCCCAAAAACATACTAAATAATATTGCAAGCTTGAGAAATATATGTAGCTTCGCTGAGCGATGCTTGTATTAATCAAAGCACATTCTATTTGGATCTAAGCCAACTGGGCCATGACCAAAACTATAGCTTTTACAGTACTTTATTTAGGATTATCCGAAGGGTCCAGAACTCAGTGGGAACGAGTCGTCACTGAGTAACATCATTTTTGTTTAGGGGTTATGAGGTAGAGAACAAACGATTATCGAACAGGCTGTTTCATCTATATTGAATTTAATGAATACTAGCTTTTGTGTACTAGCTTTTTGTGATAAAAACTATTTTATGTACCTTCCTGTATCCCTGACTACGTGAATACTTGATTTAATACGTCAGGGTGAAAGTAACACAGTATTTTGAATTTACTATTAAATACCTAATATCTACGTTTTCTACTAATCTATAACACTTATCTTTGTGAATCTGTAATGTTCTTGACACTCTAATTAATTCTTGTAATCTTGTGTTCCTAACAGTGAAATAATTAATTGTAGTTGTTTAACATTCAAGAGAACATATAGTTCTGTTCACGAGTTTCCAATCGGTTTCATTACAATCCCCATTCAATATTTATTCACAGACATAATATTAACAAGCAAAACCGTCCGTACTAATTAATCGTTAACGCGAGCAACTTTTCGCAACGGTATAGTGTTGTGTACAGTAAAAAAGCTAGTATGTCGATTTCCAGAGCGTAATGTGTTGCAACAACGCTCTAATAAAAATAGAAACAGTTTTTTTACCGACATTCCCGTGAAAATAGGTGAAACTGTGCCGCGAATGCGCTTTGTACCGTGAGAAAAGCTTGTGTGGTCGTGCAAAGATAGTGACGTTACCTGTCGATATTGTCCTCGTATCTGAATTTAAGGTCGCGTTTCAAAAGACGAGTCTTTCAAATACATAGAGATAAGGCTACATTCGTGCAAATATCATCGAAGAGGTTTGTAGAGGCTTTAAAGGCTTAAATTTAGGCCGCCTCGCTGGTGCAGTGGTAACGTACGCGACTGCTGTGCTGAGATCTCGGGTTTGATTAAAGTATTTGTTTAGTAGTTTTGGTGTTTTCTATGTATAATATGTATGTATTTACAAAAAAAAAGTATATAAGTATTCTATCAGTCAATCTAGCTTTCATAGTACAAGTTTTACCTAGTTTGAAACTAGATGGCGTTGTGTGTCCGATGTCCGAAATATTATATTTAACATTATATAACAATAAATATAGTGCCACTTAGAAGTAGTAGTATACGTGATAGTGGGACACGTAGGAGAGTTATTGTGGGATTGCTAGACATGAGTGATACCATTGGAAGAGAGAAATTAGTGTGAAGAAACCCTTTCGCTGCTTATCACTGAGTGAGCGGGCACCGTGCAGCTGCCAATGGGTGATGGAAGTCATTTACCATCAAGTGACCCGTCTACTTGTTTGCCACTCATAATATACAAAAGTTTATAATTATGTTGAAGCGGAAGGGAATTATAGGAAAGGGATAGTACGAATACGGATGAATAAGTAACCGTAATCAATCGCCTATTTTGAAGGTCTATTTCGGGTACCTGAAAACCATATTGGCTTTTCCGGCAAATCCAAGCTTTCCAATCTATTTGTATCATTTGTCTGTATTACTGTCAGTACACATTGAAACTGAATTCCTGAGAAATAGAGTAGCATTTAATAAAACTGTAGTGATAAGTTATTCCCTTTTATTAATTAAATTCCTTTTGATATACGAATGTTTTACGATTTCCGTCAGCGTTAAAACACCTATAATTCACAAACATTTCGTTTAGAAAGTTAACGTATAAAACTTGAATCATAATAGTTATTAATTGGATGATTTTACTGGTAGATTGAACAGCTGGTGATTGATTCAAGTGTTACGTAATAGTAACACGTCAGAAAGTGTGATGATGTGCTTACAGTTATATATTGTACTAGTTTTTGCCAGCAGCTCCGCCCCCGTGTATGTTGGTTATGGCGTTAAAAAGTGACCTATTCTACTCGCGGAAAATGTAGCTTTCCATTGCAGAATTTTTAGAATCGGTTTAGTGGTTTAGGCATAAAAGTGTAACAAACAAACTCACTTTGACATTTATAATATACTAACTTTTGCGAGCAGCTCCGCCCGCGTTTGTCTCGGTTATAGCGTTAAAAAGTGGCCTAAGTCTTTTCTCAAATTTCATCTGAATCGGTACTGCGGTTTAAGCATGCAGAGGTAACAGATCGACAGACAGACGGACAGACACACTTTCGCATTTATAATGTTAGTATGGATATACACATGCTCACACTTATATTTTCAGAGCAATAGGCAAAAGAAAGATCACATTTTGCTAACTATTCTTTCAGCTCCATTTAACAGAGAGTAGGCATATTGTAGTCAAATAAAACTTAGGGGATTCGATAGAAAAATGGAAGTATATTCAAAGAAAGATAGATCTAAAGGGATAGCAATGGTAGAATAGGAATATTGCTAATGTGTATTGAATATTAACTTGGCTATTGCTGCGGAAACAGGACCACTAATAACTCAATATGTTACGATGTTTATATTTTTCGCATGGATATAAATAGATTAAATTTTGTTTTGTTATTTATTTCAATTTAGGACATTTATTTCAGTCTAGAAACAATAGTCTACTTAAACCAGTCAGTAAGAGCTTCATTGTTAATCTTAAAGCCACTAAAATAAGACAAGATCCTGGGTCTATATGAATTGTGACGATACAATGAAAAGCTTGTGTGGTCGTACAAAGATAGTGACGTTACCTGTCGATGTTGTCCTCGTATCTGAATTTTAGGACGCGTTTCAAAAGAAGACTCATTCAATTTCAAATATCATCGAAGAGGCATGTAGAGGCATTAAAAGCCTACATTTAGACTGCCTCGCTGGTGAGTGATTAAAATATTTGTTTCGTAGTTTTGGTGTTTTCTATGTATAATATGTATGTATTTACAAAAAAAAGTACATAAGTATTCTATCAGTCAATCTAGCTTTCATAGTACAAGTTTTACTTAGTTTGATACTAGTGAATGTAGCCACATTTGTGCAAATATCATCGAAGAGGTTTGTAGAGGCATTAAATCAGCGAGGCAGTCTAAATGTAGGCCACATTTAGACTGCCTCGCTGGTGCAGTGGGAGCGTATGCGACTGCTGTGCCAGATCTCGGGTTCGATTAAAATATTTGTTTCGGAGTTTCCGTGTTTTCTATTTAATATGTATACACTCCGATGCGGTCGGGGGGTGTCGTTTAAGGCGGGACGCCGTTGCTCCTTTTACATCGTAGAGCAGTGAGAGGCGCGGTAGCGTCCTGTCCCAGGGTGACTACGGTCACTCCGGGATGTGCCTCAGACATGAGGTAAGGCAGGGAGGACTCCAGAAGTCGCCGATGCGTTCCTGGAGCTCCGCCGCGGGTTTTAGTGGGTAGACCGGTTCTCCGGGAGTTCCACACATGCCCTTCGCTTCCCCAACGGAGTGTATGGTGCAAGAAGCATTCCCCGCGTGGAAAAAAAAAGGTAAATATGTATGTATTTACCATCAGGTGACCCATCTGCTTGTTTGCCACTCATAATATTTGTGACGATGTAAATATGTACCTCGGAAACAAATTAGATCATTAAGAACCTAAGAAGGAACTTGGAATACAGGTTTCTTAAAAGGATACGAATATTTTGTATAACATCAGGTTTAACCGCTTCAAAGTTGATTTTAACGATATGATTATTTAATCTTTTGTTAATCTTATGGCCAATATATGTATTAGGTAAATTTTTATTAATGTGTTCTGATGAATTTAATAGTAGGTAAATCATAAATATGTATGCATGTAGGTATAATATGTAATTATTGTTATTCCGTCCGCTTAAATTTAAATACTATAAGGAAACTATTGATTAATACGTCTAGTATAAAAAATGCCTAATGCTATTATTTCTTATTTGAAATTTGCATTGACTAATATCAAATAAGGAATAAAATTAGTTTAACAAATAAAAGACACATAAATATAGCATAACATCATCAACATCACCAACTTTAATGCTGCAAATGAAAATGAACTGTAAGTAAAATAATATATTGTAATGAATTTTCCAACTATTTTCCTCTTTGGAGATAAAACATATTCTTTAAATTAAAATGACAATCTTGGGTACAGACACTTCAGTAAAAAAAAAAGAGTCGATCCACAAATCGCAAAGATTTCACGTGACATACACACAGAAAATATAATCAGATAAGTCCGTATGGTGACGGATTAAGGATACAGTGTCACCACCCCTATTCATTCCCTGGGTATCGTAAGAGCCAACTACGGGACCAAACTACGCAAGACAACAGCACTGCAAAGAGAAGGCAAACTTGACACAAATCCTATACGTTGGTATGTCTGTAATCCGACTGGCCAGTTTGGTATAGTAGGCCAGCACATTATTTTCAAGGAGAAGGACCATGCCCAGCGGTGGACTATTAAAGGCTGTTGATGATGATGATAAAAATGGAGAACCTCCTCCTTTTTAAAGGCGATCAACAGTGGAGATAATAAATAAAATAATTCAAAATAAAATTTGGGTTTACCAATATTTCATAGTAATTTTAATAGAATATTGTAAACGACTTTTTTGTTTACCTGGTTGTTTTAATACTATGGGAATCGGCATTTTTTGTAAGATCTTCAATTTAACAAATTTAAAATTCTTATCGATATTGTTGTGTCGCATGACTAGTCTATCGATTACAGAACTTTGCGTGTTGAATGTGATATCTCATGTAGTTTTGAAAGTGGACCTAGATTAATAACAATAAAGTAAGTTTGTCCGTGTGGTGACGGATTAAGAATACAGAGTGTCACCACCCCTATTTATCCCGTGGGTGTCGTAAGAGGCGACTGGGGGAGCAAATTACGCAGGACAACAGCACTGCAGAAAGAAGGAAAACTTGACACAAACCCTATACCAACCCGTCTGGTCAGCGTGGTGTAGTAGGCCAAAACCTCCTTTCTAAAGAGAGGCCTATGTCTAGCAGTGGACTAGTAAAGGCTGTTGATGAAGTTTTAATTTCATATTGATCAATATTTTAATTTCATATTGATAAATATGTTATAAGGTTTGTTATAAATCTTTTGACAAAACAAAAGTTCTAAGATTATGTTATAAGATTTTGAGAATTTCAGTTTTTAGAGTTTACAGGGAAAGTAAAACTCGTAACAGGTCATAAAGTTAACGAAGGTGAGCGCGACAATAGGCACGAACGTCTTGCACCATGGACTTCCTTTCGAGGGTATACCTGGTTCCCCGGCTATTAGTACCCGAGACGGCGTGCGGTCTTAGTCGGTTCGAGTCCGACATGCCACATGTGGTATCCGAGGGGATTTCCGCACGGAAAAGAAAAAAAAAAGGCACGAATGTCTAAAATGTGTAGTATTAGATGACTTTATAGTTTCCCTAGATATTTCGTTTATGGAAATGGATCTTGTAGATTTTATACCTGTATTTATATATTCACAGAATGTTACACTAAAGATTGTGGTTAAGGTTTTTTTTTTTAGCCTAAATATATATAATGTATGTAAGAAACTTACCAATAGCCAAAAGAGTCTTCAATTTAGGATTAGCTTTCTTCAACTGATTGATCCTGTCATAAAGTCCTGTTTTTCCATCTTTAGTTTCATCGTTGGACTCAAAAGAGCTAAGTTTGCCCTTTTTCAGCCACCCAAAAGCGAAGATGATATGGGTGCACAGATCTGGTTGGATGTCTTCAGGCGTAAACTTTCCGAGCTTGGTGCGGTATTGGGACCAATTTGTGTAGTAGCAGACGATCTGGAGGAAGAACATTTCAAAATATGAAGTTCGTAATTTAAAATGATAGTAAAAAACCCAACAAAACAACAACAGCCGTCGGAAGTATGAGTAGAATAAAAAAATTCACGTACGTACAGGGCAGTTGTGTAAGAATTAACAGTAGTAATAGGCAAACATTTTGCTAATCAGGAAAAGTATTTATTGCACATAACTAATGTTTATTTATAGTATAATAATCATCTACGTTCAGGTTTCTCCTCGAATTAAAGACATCTAAAGAGATCGCTAGAGAAAACCAGCAATGGTACAGAAAATGGTTAATGTTGTTTTTTAAGCTAATACGTGGGTTTGCCATAACAAAATGATAGAATGGAAATGCAAAATAAAGGCAAGATTATAATTTGTTGCTGAATTCTGGTAATCTTTGATCGAAATGCTAAAAATAAGTTTGATCATAGCTAAGTTGTAAGATCAATCAATATTTTTTTATAAAAGTTTGTTCTAATAATAAAAATAGTTAAGTTTTTATGGCAGAACAGAACAGTATCCGTTTGACACATCCGTTGTGTCTTTAAGATTAACTTCCTCATGTTAACCATATTCGTCGCAGTGAGAGATGGTAACTGGAAACCAGTTAAGTTTTATTATTCTTATAATGACGCATTTCTTGAAACAGCTTGCAAAGTTCATAATCACTTTGGTATTTAGTATGTTTGAAATTATATATTTTTGCAAAAAGCTTACATTACCAAAGGATAAAGTATATTGAAGTGACGCCCGGTTTAAATGACGCGGAAAAGAGAAATTGTTTTTTGTTTGTAATATTTTAATATTACATTATTTTAGACAATTTAGATTAAATTAAATATTATGACAGGAATTTGAAACAGCTTTGGATGTTCTTTTAAAGCACTGAAAGAACGTTAATTCTTTAAATAGCTATGTATACATGCTAAACGTACGTAATGCACAATTTTATGCTCCAACATTCTTTTCATTTCTATGTGATATTTGTATTAGAACATTCGGCTTAATGGTTTCAGATCATTTTAACAGCATTTCCTCATTTGAGAGATATTTGACCAAACATAGCGTTTAACGCTGCGCTTTCGCAGTAAGAGACATACACATATTATATAACAATATCGACTGCACGGATGGCATAGTGGTTTAAGCGGTCGCCACGCCGCTTACTACTATGCTAAGTGCTGTGGGTCCGAGCCCCACATGGGACTACACTTTGTGTGGCCCACAAATTCTTGTTCTGATTCTGGGTGTTCTTTATGTCCGTTTCATGTATGTTTATAAAGGCCCCCCCGCGATATACTTATTCCTAATGCTGGAGTTGTCTTTTTAAAAGATATTCTAAAGACATAGTTAAAGTTTTAAAAGCATATATAAACATAAAACAGTTGAATATGTTTTTTATTTCTATTGGAGTAAGATTCACAAATGCCGCATAAAGCTGCTATGCGTAGACAAATACTTATTTTGAAGGCTAACAACTTTAGTTTTGAGTTCGGAAAGTTCACTCATATCCGCATTATACGTCAACATTGCAAAATTACATAGACGTAAAACGAAATAAGTAGCTTGATTCTATATTAAGAGAATAAGGTTCAAATTAGCTCTTAACTTAAATTTTTAACGGTAAAAAGTAACTTTGTGTCAAAGTTCTTGCAAGGCTCAATATTGGGACCACTGTCTTTTCCTGTCTTATTACTTAGAGGGTATACTGAAGCATTTTAAAATTATACTATGCTGAGATAATTAGTTTTTTTTTTAAATACATCTCCCACATTCGGAATAAATCCTGTGTCGCAGGGGACTTTACAAACATACATGAAACGGGCACAAAAAACACCCAGACTCAGAACAACAATTTGTGGATCAAACAAAGTGTCGTCCCATGTGGGGTTTGAAACCCACAACACTCGGCGTAGTAGGAAGCGGCGTGGCGACCGCTGAAACCACTACACCATCCGTGCATTGCAGTAATATTTACTTTTAGTTAAAAAAGTACGTACCTTGTATCCATCTTTGTCTTTATGATCATCAGTGGTAACTGAGTTGTCAATAACCGCAGATGATTTTCTGCTGGCTATACTGGGACGTCCTCTTATCTTGGGTCTGTTCACGCTAGCTGCTATGATTTGGTCGGAGGATCTGGAGACGCTGCTTGATACTGAGGTGGATACTTTAGACGGCTTTCGTAATCTTCTGCGAACGTCTGTTGACAAATTTTCACACTGAGTATTTTTGCTGTTCAGTTTCTATATATATGTATTTGTATTGTAAGGCGGAGATCTTTAATATATGTAGGTTAAAATAAGATCTAATACGGGTTCAATTTTTAGGTGTATTTTGGAGTTAATTAATAGAGTAAAGCAAAGTTGAGAGTATTGAAACAATCCATATCTATCTATAGTTATTAGTTAATATTTATGATGAAAGTTAAATTAGCATTAATTGAAAGTTCTTGAGATTGAGAAACTAGTAATTGGGATCGTTTCTTGACTATCAGCACCGATACGCCAAAACAAAAAAACCTTAAACTGCCGTAGCAGAACATTTGCTACAAGCCAATCCTAAAATCAATTGGTACAGAAAAAATAGACCACAATCATTAAAGTTTCATCATCACATCATCATCATCAACAGCCTTTAATAGTCCACTGCTGGACATAGGCCTCTCCTTAGAAAGCAAGTTTTGGCCTACTATACCACGCTGGCCAGACGGGTTGGTATAGGGTTTGCGTCAAGTTTTCCTTCTTTTTGCAGTGTTGGTGTCCTGCGTGGTTTTGCGCCCTTAGTCGGCTTTTACGACACCTACGGGATGAATTGGGATAGTGACATTCCGTATTCTTAATCCGTCACTACACGTCAAAGTTTACGAAATTTAATTTTCTAATATCGAGACAAGATTTACCAGCTCGTTCCATGCAGCAGTACAACTTGTATATTTTATAAACTAAGAAGTAGCGGGTAAAACTTCGTAGTTAAGTTCTAAGGCTGGCTTTCTCGGATCAAACTTCCGTGCAATCTAACTTTGTACTTTAATTTTGTTCAGGTGATGTAGTAATTTTATCGAGTGTTACTGTTGTAAACTAAATCTAGTAAACACTAGTTTCTTTAATAAACTTGATCTTCTACGTGAAAATGAACAAAACTATACGCATCTTTAGAATTTCGCCCGATTATTCATCCATGACCATTCTGAAATAATTTTATAAATTTAAATTTGGGCATGAAGGGGAAAACGAGCACACCGGTCACACGGAGACTAAATAACATAAAACATTACATGTCAGTAACCTAACTCACGTAGGACCCGTAATATTTTGTGGCCGTGGTGCTTCCCTGTTTAAAAGGGTGTATGCCCATTTTACTTCATTTTGTCTCCCGCTTTGCTAAGGAGGGAAGTGGATTTACTGTATTTCCAACTCCTCCAATTTTCTTCTGATTAATTTCGTTGCGGGTTCCAAGACAGTTTAATTTCTTCCTGGGACTTCCCGAGTGTCATAACTCGATGTGTTCGTGGGTCACTGCTGTGGATCCTGGTGTACAGGAGTTACAGTGGTGGGCGTGTGGGTGGGATTAGTCCCAATGTCAGTAACCTATGTTTCCGCAAATAAATGATGATTATGATTATGAAACCTGTAACTCGAGAGTTACCAGTGCCTTGTCACCCTTTGAGTCTCCCCCTCTAAAATCAGGGTCAGCAGTTTTCTGGTATCACTCCGTTCAAGCCGGCCATTATGCCGAATCATGGATCTCCCATGTAAATATATACATTATGTTATGTCTGGGTTGATTGTCTGTGTGGTGACGGATTAAGAATACGGTGTGTCACCACCGCTATTCATCCCGTGGGTGTTGTGAAAGTTGACTTAGAGAGCAAACTCTGCAGGATAACAGCTCTACAAAGACTTGACAGAAACCCAATCCAACCCGTCTGACCAGCGTGGTACAGTAGGCCAAAAATCTCCTTTCTAAGGAGGGGCCTATGTCCAGCAGTAGACTATTAAAGGCTGTTAATGATGATGATGATGTCTTGAAGATACTTTAAATTTCGCTTGGAGTCATTAAGTGTCACGTTTTGTATTTTTTAATGATTTTGCATTCACAGGAGTAGAAACAAAATAAGATTATAAATAAATAATACATATAGCGTGAATGTGGCATCTGACGTTGAATCTGAATATCATAGAAAGTTAAGTAAAAAAACACTGCATCTTAATTTTACTTCTAGGTCAATAACTTTTAAAATTTTATTTGAAATACATATTGTTCATCAAACCCAAGTCACGCTTAAATAAGCTTCTAAACCTGTGTGTTGATAGCATACGATTAATAAACCCTAACATAAATAGGTTTGCATAAAAATTCAATGAAGTTAAGAGAATTTGCTCACGTATCCACAGTTATCAAGCAAACATTTTAGACAAATCAGACGTAAATACGAGTACATGTGCTCTTTCGTGAAAATCATAAATCAACGGGGAAAGATTAGTGAGGAATGGATTTGGACTTTTAATAGATTTTGTTCAAAAAAGTAATTTTGACGTTAATTATCATGTGTACACTATTAGTATAGATCAAATTGTGATTAATATAAGACTAGCTTTGGGCCACGGCTCTGCCCGCGTGTACATCAGTTATTGCGGTAAATAGTAGCTTATTTTTTTTTCAAAAATCAAACTATCTTAATAACAGATTTCATCTAAATCGGTACAGCGGTTATCGATTCCCCATACAAACTTCCACCCCCGTTTTCAGCTCCTTACAGGATGATTGCTGGGATAAAAACTATCCTATATCCTTTCCCGGTACTCAAATTATCTTTTTACTAAATTTCATCTAAATCGATTCAGCGGTTTAAGCATGAAGAGGTAAATAGACAGATATATGAACAGACACAATTTCGTATTTACAATATTAGTATGGATGATATATTGAACATAACAACACATATTTAAAAGATTTAAATCATATTTATATGACTAAACTATACAGGAAACTATAAATTTATGTTTTGTAGCAATGTCCATGATTCCCAACAAATTAATTACCACAAATGGGTACATTTAAATCGGCGTAAATGGGTATATGGTTTTTTTTTTCATTTTACATTTTTAATACAGACAAAGACTGTAAAATTGTAGATATTAATCGCTGTAATTAATCAAAACGGGAATTATCACCATCAGAAGGCGAGAAAGATCTGTGAAGTATTTAAGAAACCAACTAAAACAATGTAACATTCTTTTAACGTGCTTACAAGTGCAGTAACAACAAGCAGTTCTAACGATTGTATTTTTAAATATTGTAAACTTTTAGTATTAAAGAAATGTTTTTTAACTTCATATTTTTTATCTTTGTGTCAGACTTCGGTGAATGATCTAGAATAAGAAAGTTTGCTATTGCGTCATTTCTTAATCGATTTCCAGTTTCTTTAACAAAAAATAACTACTGAATTCTAGATAAGAATAGACAAAAATTTAAAATAATTCCAGTGGCGTTATTTTTATCGTTTTTTAATGTCTTTAAAATCATGGAAATAAAATGAGCATTTGACCGAATGGGGTAGTGGTTTGTGTAACGGACTGATATTCCAAAGGTCGCGGGTTCGATTCCCGCTCAAGTCAAACATTTGTGTGCATGAACATTTAATGTTTGATTTGGTCTGGGTGTTTCTATGTATAATATGTATGTATTTACAAAAAAAGCTCATGTATTTATATCAGTTGTCTAGTAGCCATAGTACAAGCTCTGCTTAGTGTGGGACTAGATGGCGTTGTGTGAATGTGGTATAAGATTATTATTATTATTATTAGGCAAAATTAAAACTGTTTCGTCATCGGTTCATCACATTGCAGCAAACATCAAATATTTTTACATTAAACATAACGCCTCTGTTACACACACGCACTGTAATATTAGTCACACATTTCAGTCAGACAACTTCCTTTTTTGTCGCTTTTCAAGGTGTACGGGGCAATATATTAGAATTAATAACGCTACCTATACTCAGTTCACAGAAAAAATATATTCTATTTAAATGTTTTATATAGCAACTACTTTCATTAATTGGCTAGCTGTAATAAAAATCTAACTTGACTTTTTCAAAAGTATATTTTTGTTATTATAAAAAGGTTTTAATTTCAGTTATAACTGTGTCAAAAAATTGTGGAAGTAAATTTTAAAATAATTATAATTGTTGTATCGCAATGGAACTTTGTGATGGATTAAGAATACGGAGGGTAGCTACCCAGTGGGTGTCGTAAGAGCTGACTAAGAGAGCAAGATGCGCAGTACAACAGCACTGCACTACAGCTTTCAGTGCAAAGAGAAGGAAAACTTGAAACAAACCAACCCGTCTGGCAAGCTTAGCATAGCCCAAAACCTCCTTTCCAAGGAGAGGCCTATGTCCAGCAGTAGACTATTGAAGGCTGTTGATGATGATGAATGGAACTTTGTATATAGTTACTATTTTTGATTCAAATTGGTAATCAAGGTCTGATGATGAAGGAAGGGGGAAAATAGTGGATCTTTATTTTATTTTATTAATAATTTAAGTTTAAAAAATTATAATTGACTATAGGATCCGTTTTATTTTTTTTGGTATTATAGTTGTGGAGGAACGGGTGTCATGTCCCTCCAACACAAAGGGAGGATCCTCCGACCAGGCGAAGTGATCATGCCTGGCGGGCCGCGGTCCAACGGTTGATGTTGGGAAGTTGTATATATGCTAATCGGCGAGGGAATTTTTTATATCGCGATACAGGATTAGCAATTCTTATTTTAGTAGTTACTCCGTAGTTCGGTGTGTCTTCATTAGATGGCGTTGTTACTACAACGCCATCCATCATGTTCCTGTTTTTTGTATGTGGGAGTCGCCACATAGTCGTCCATACTAGCTTGTAAACTGTCGGTTTCATGGTATATAACAGCTTATATGCACGGAAATGACTGCCAGCCAGCTTGTAACCAAGGCCAGGTCATAAATAACAATGCCTATGGTTTTTAAGCCTGTGCCGACATTTAGTTCAATCCATGTATGACTGTATGACTATGAGTCTGAACTCAACATTTGATTTACGGAATATCCATACTAATCAAACTACAAGCGATACAAAAAAGCACGTTTTTAGGTAAATAAATTGCAAGATTATCAGCTATATATCACCGTGGTCGGCCGCGTGTGCCGACCTGGACATGTCACATTGTTCTCGTATAAACATAATTTTAGTTTACAAATAGGCCTGCCAGAATATGTAAATCTACAGGATGTGTGATTTGACTCGCTGAAAATTGCATTAATTCTTTCATTTAATGTAAGTCTAGACAGACTGTGAATATCTTTATGGCTTAGTATCAGAACCTATGCAATTACTTGTGTTCAACATTATATGGCAGAACGGCTCAACGGATTTGGATGAAATTTCTTAGGCTTACCCCGGAATAGGGCTAGGTAGGTGAAATAACATGGTCCGCCTGAGACTCTGAGACTGAGCCGTCGGGGTGGTTCTTGATAAATACTAAAGTGATGGGCAAAAAAACCCCTATAAAATCTGGCTGTCAACATGTTTATTTATATACACATCATGCACTCTTGGTGCATTGGCGAACTTAACACCCAAGGCATTCTCTACCAGTCAGCCTTTGGGTGAAGCAGAGAAAACAGGCAGTAGGTACATTTTGGTTAAAGTTTGTTTGTAGTAATAATATCAAATACGCATACATAAACCTATCATACACTAGAACCCATACACTTTATACATACGTACATACACATACCTAAATACATATAAACTTACATAAATACACACATACGTAAATAAATACATATGTTAGTTGATTCTGCCAGTTGTTTTACAAGCAAAGCAAAACCATTGCAGCATACATGACCATAGTGGATTAGGGGAAAGATAAGGAATTGCACAAGCATGGTCTTGGTATTTGCGGGTAGGAAATTTCTCAAGCGATATAGAGCCCGAAGTGCTCCAGTAACCCTCTAGCACTAATTTGCAACTTGCTCACTCCAATTTAGTGAGCAATCGAGGGGTAAACTAAAATCTTTTGCCGATTGACAAACAGGAATAGTAGTCCCATTAAAAACAATAGCCGTCAGAGTCTCAATGTCTACTCTGCTCATAAATTGGTAACTTCCAATTACAATGGCTTAACATTTTGTGGTGTTTACTGTTAAACCAAACTTTTTAGACCACGCATTAATTGTTTCCAGGTCTCTGTTGACCATGTCTATAGCCATCGAAATATTAACCTTGCTCTGCGAATAGAGTTGAAGGTTATGGGTATACAGATAATACGCACAGTAAAATTCTAAAGTTAGGAAGTTAATTTACACCGAAAATAATAAAGGGGGAAGACACCAGAAACAAGATCACACCAGCTTGAAGAATAAAAAATCACATGGTGTGTAAAAGCATATACGGTATGTGATGTATAGATTTATATTATTGTCATTTAACTCCTAAAAGGTTTTGTGATATTTGTTTTTTGGTAATTTAAATAAATAATGTACTTACTGCTGGAGTCTGATGTTGGTACTATCACGGTAAGTACTAACAGGACAGTGATCGCCCACCAAAGCAATCTTGGCGGCAACTGGAACAAAAGAAACATTTTCGATTAGTTATTTATTAAACGGCGTGTTATGAAATCTTAATACTACTAATATTATAAATGCAAAAGCGATTTTCTGTTTGATATGCTTTTAAGACTTAACAACTACCTAATAATTACGATTTTTGCACATACGTTGTTACAGAAAAAGACATAACATACTTTCATATAACAGTACAATTGCCGTACTTCAAAGTGGGCCAAAGCTAAATTATGCAGAAGCCTAGGCAAACAGAAGCTACAAAGTCTCATATCAACCGCTCAGTCTCAAATAATGCTTATTCAATTTACTGTCTTTTTCTAAAAACTGTAGACCATATACGCGTTTTAGACTGTACGGTAGACAACTAAACTGTGTACTTTGTTTATGTATGTATCTGTAAACAAGTACACAAAAATACATGAATATTTTGTTGAGCAGATATATAGATAGGTAGGCTCTTTGTTGCACACCATAATTAAGATACATGCGATGATACATACAAAAAAAAACAGTGATACAATACAACAAGGGCGGCCTTATCGCAGTCTGCAATCTCTTCCAGGCAAACTTTAGATCGACAACTTTCGTATATTAACTACTGTTTACATACATACACATACACGAATATGTATTCATACACTTACATACATATATAAATATGTACATAAACATACATACACATATCTATATAGCACATAGTTGTTACAGCGATAAATAGTGATCCTTAACGAGTTGTCAAAATAGAAACAGACAAAACAAAGAAACTTAATTTCTTTTATAACATTAGATATGTATTCGAGGACAGGGGAATTTTGGTGTAACTAGTCTAAATACATGAACCATATCTTGTGAGAGACCCTACTTTAATATTTTCGTAAGTGTATTCTGAGAAAGGACGTATGAGCTAGGTTATACTGTTAGCGAGTTACGTATTTATGATTCTCGCTTATTCTGTTGGTGAAAGATAGATAATCTTTGTGGAGAATCGAATTGACGGGCCTGTTAGTCTAGTTAGGTTAGGTTCTGTAGGGTTCGATTCCTACCCAGGACAAATAGTGTGTGATGAGCACGGTCATTTGTTCTGTATCTGGGTGTAATTTATTGTTAATCTGTGTGTATATAAAAACATATATGTTTATCAGTAGTCTGGTTACCATAGTACAGTCTCTGCCTAGTTCGAGATTAGACGGCCGTGATACATTATTATTATTAATAATTTGACTACCAGGAGAGCGTCATGTGTCAATATTAAGTTTATTTTAACTTCCACCCAACTCAGCCAATGTTTTCTTTTAAAAGGTCTTCTAGCAACCGAAATTACTAGTATTCGTATAGCTACATTGCTTGTGTTAGGAGTGGGCTCACGTAGATAGTGCACTGGTCAGAATTTGAACCCTCGACCTCTTGATCGCAAGTCCAATGACGTAACCACTAGGTTACCTCCGCTTTTTAAAATTTTATTGATCAAAAGCTCAAATGAAAGAGCTGGTTCTTCTTTTATGGTATGGGGGTGCAAACGAGTAGATGGGTTATTAAATATTAAGTCAGTAACAAAAGTCACAAGTGCATTGCCGCTCTTTCGCGAGAGGGGGTTCCATCATTATCATCACCTCAGCAGAAAAACGTTCACTGCTGATTACCACCCCAAGGATCAGCAAAATAACAGAAAAGGGGTTTGATCTCCGGCGATTTAAAGAGTGTTCTTAGATTGCGTAACTCAGAACCGGACATATAAAAAGAAGCTATGAATACAGGAGAAAAATATAACTAGAAAACGGAGAAATTTAAATGATTTTATTGATGACAAATAAAACCTAGTAAACGTCTAATCTAGCAACATATCTATTTCTATTTCTATTTATTTTTTCTTGTACACACTGAACACATACATATATATAAGTTACAAGGAAATGTCATCTTAAATTGTTTTAAATTCACATCATCATCATCATCACATCAACAGCCTTTAACAGTCCACTGCTGGCCATAGGCCTCTCCTTAAAGAGGAGGTTTTAGCCTACTATACCACGCTGGCCAGACGGGTTGGTATAGGGTTTGTGTCAAGTTTTCCTTCTCTCAGCAGTGCTGTTGTCTTGCGTAGTTTGCTCCCTTAGTCGCCTCTTACGACACCCACGGGATGAATAGGGGTGGTGACACAATGTATTCTTAATCCGTTAAATTAGTAACTGTTTATTAAAATGCAATAATCCGCTACCCGCTTGCAGTGCGACCTTGGCTTCACTTCAAGATTACAGTTTCAGTTGGCAGTCAACACGTCACATTTATGAATAATGCAACAGAGAGACGCGTCACCCCCGGTATTGAAATAATGCCTTGGATCGATCCAACATGAATACCTACCAGTAGACAACGAATTTATGTACAAGCGTTGCAATGATGTTTAAGTAATATATGAATTATATAAAAACCAGGTTTAAAATTTTGAAACATTATTTTCTGTAAAAAAAATATGGAATAGAAGGCCAACGAGCAGATGGGCCTCCTGATGGTAAGTGACTACCACTACTCATAGACAACTCAAAAGTCTCAAGTGTATTCCCCCTTTCCCCTACAGAATCAGGGTAGGTTGGACTCTAAAAACTTCACTCCCTCGCTGAAATTTAACGAAAGAATTGTTTAACATGGGTTAACTGTTTAATGAGCCAGTTTATATATGCCGAGGTAGAGAATTACATTTCGCAGTTATTTCAACAACATTAGGATTATATTCGGATATTACCAATAGAGATTACTTCTATTCAATTATCGTATGTAAGTAATCTTATTGCAGAAATAATTGGATATCAGTAACTATTTACTTACTCACGAAACCAAAATTGGTACATTCTAAGCTTATAATCATATTAATAGAGACGGTACCGTAATATCCGTGTAAATACCTCGGAGCCGGACAGCCATTGTTATTCTAACCCAACTAGCTTTGTTCCAATGTTTGATATTGTAAGCTAACCAAAATCTAGTGATTAAATGACTAGTTTCCAGAGAAACTATTAATTTAATTTTCAGACTTTGGTTTGGATTTGCAATTAGATACAAAGAAAATACAGTTATATAGCAATGATTAATTAAAACAAGAAATCATTAATTAAACTAAAACTAGGATTGATAAAAAAATACTTATTTACATACTAACTTTTGCCAGCGACCCCACCCGTGTGTATATCGGTTTTCGCGGTAAAAACTAGCCTATGTTACTCGCTGTTATGTAACTTTACATTGGTAAAAGAATTTTTAAAGTCGGTTTAGTGGTTTAGGCTTAAAGCGTAACAAACAAACTCTCTTGCCCATTTATCATATAAGTATGGATTTATGTAAGCATTGTTTATAAATCTTCATTATGATACTTTAATCTACGCATTTGAGAGTATGAAAATTGGCATCTAAAATACACTTTTTATTTATTCAGTAGAGATGGACATACTTACATAATACGTATGGTTCAAATACATACACGTGACGGGCATGGAGGTCTAGTGGTTAATGACCCTGACTGCTAAGCCGGAGGTCGTGGGTTCGATTCCCACCCAGGACAAATAATTGTGTGATGAGCACGATCGTTTGTTCTGTGTCTGGGTGTAGTTTATCTATAATATGTATGTATTTGGAAATATATAAGTATGTTTATCAGTAGTCTGGTTGTCATGGGACAGGCTCTGCCTAGTTTGGGATCAGACGGCCGTGTGTGAGATGTATGAGGTTATTATTTATTTATTTATTTATTATTTACATAAGCTTCCCTTAGGGGCTTCGCCAGAGTCGGCTTTTTAAGTATTCAAGTCACCTAAGTAGTTCGATTATATAAATTGGCAATTTTAAATTTTATTCATATTTAAACCACTTTGACTTTGTCATATATCTAATATGCTTATTCGGAATTTTATCCATCAGTATTCTCATTGTTGTGTGGTGACGGATAAAGAATACGGAATGTCATCACCACTATTCATCCCGTGGGTGTCTTAAGAAGCGACTAAGGGAACAAACTACGCAGGACAACAGCACTGCAAAGAGAAGGAAACCGTCTGGCCATGGTGGCATAGTAGGCCAAACCCTCCTTTCTAAGGAGAGGCCTATGTTCAGCAGTGGACTAGTAATAGCTGTTGATGATTGATGATGATTCTCATTGTTAATTACTTTTCACAATCTTCAGTCATTCATTCACATTTCCTACTCATGCTAAAGTGCCCATAAAATATGACTACAACAAGTAAAATCACCCGCAAAATAAGCACATCGTATTTTATCTCCAGAGACGAATATTATAATAGCCACACGACGATTTACTTCTCTCTCATAAATCCAAAATGGCTTCTTTTGTTGACAGTTAAAGTAATTAGCTTTTGTACATTTTGGTATTTTGTTATGAGACACTTACTCGTAAAAATATATCGAATAATTATATTTTTGATTGTAATAGGGGAGAGTAACCAATATTGAACCGGCGTTTAAATTGGACCACTTCTGTATTTCTACCGAAATAACACTATTTTTTACACTAGCAACAAAAAAAAAGAGCTTATATGAATTTAAAAAAAGGATTCTCAATCCGGTACACTTTTTTGTGATTGTAAAATCAAGAAACTCCGTTATTTATGAACCGATACGAACAATCATTTTTTGAATTTGGAAGGGTATATATTTACCGTTTGGTCAAATTCAAATTTGAAGAGATATCACTCTAGAGAAATTAATGAATGAAAAATACAGTTCATTAGTATAACCGGATGGCGTAGTGGTTTGTCTAACGGACTGCTATTCCAAAGGTCGCGGGTTCGATTCCCGCTCAAGTCAAACATTTGTGTGCATGAAAATTTAATGTTTGATTTGGTCTGAGTGTTTCTATGTATAATATGTATGTATTTACAAAAAAAAAGTATATATGTATTTATATCAGTTGTCTAGAACCCATAGTACAAGCTCTGCTTAGTTTGAGACTAGATGGCTTTGTGTGAATGTGGTACAATATTATTATTATTAG